GTCAAGCATTGAAAAACTTTTGCATCGATCATCTCGACTTAATCAATATGACTTTGAAAAAAAAAAAAAATTTCAAGCTATAAAAATAGGGTATATTATAACAAATTATCTAGACCGTCTATTTTCATAGATCTACAAGATCTATACTATTTTTTTTGTTTCAAAATTTATTGACGGTGTTGAAAAATGATTTTAGAGCCATCACAGAGATTATTGTCGCCAAAAGTACTTTCTAGACAAGGATTTGCGGTGAGGCTTTGTTTTGTTTTCATGAAGCCTAAGCCTTATAGAAACCTCATCCGTTATATATTGAACACAAAGGTACCATTTGGACGGCCCAACAACTCCACTAAGGTAATTTTAAAACAAGGTCGTTTTTTCATTTTCTAAGTTAGAGGCATCATCCTGATTGGCAGGAATAGAAGTGGATGAAGCTGCACAATTTTTCCACTTCTTAAATAGTACCCTCCAAATTGGGTGTAATTGTTGCGTAAAGGGGGGTTTGTATAAAGCTTCCACATTAAACAATTAAAGTAAGATGCAATTTCAATGCTAAAAATCTTACAATGTTTTTATTTCTATTTATAAATTTAATGTTCTAAAAATGGTACAGATCGAATATATCATAAACCTTGGAAAATCTAAAACAGGATGGTTGAGATAATGTGTTATGAGATGTACTATTTTTTAGACTCAAAATCTTTTTCTTTTTTTATATTCATACAACATGTGGTCAATATATTCTATTTGAATGTTTTCCATTGTTGACATAACATTTCCCAATGGGTTTTTGAGGTGGGTTTTAGTTCTACGGTATAAGATTGACACCTTGTTCCTAAAAGAAAACAAAAGAAAGAGGTTCACACTCTATACAGACTCTTTTTCCTTTTGTAAATATGTTAGATTGCTAACCGAGAAAACAAGTCTTTTGCTTAGAGATGGAGATATTATCAAAGTTATTACATAAAGCTTTATTATGATAAATAAATAAATCAAGTGTAATTTAGTCGGCCCTATATTATACATTAAACACGAGGGTTCCATTTAGTCGGCCCAACAACTCCACTATAGGTGTAGTTTTAAGACATGTGAAAATCAAGGTTTTCTTTATTTCCTCGTGCATGTTTCAATGGAATAATGGCGTTCTTAAATAGTACCTCTAAACTGGGTGTAATTATTTTGTACCGGTGTGGTTACATAAAGCTTCCACCATAAACAACTAACCTAAGATGTAGTTCGGATGCTGGAAATCTTATAGTGAGCTAAAAATCTATTTTTATTTTTATTTATGAAATTTAAATCTCTAAAAATGGTGTAGATCAAAAAAATCTATAAATCTTTGAAAATCTAGGAAATGATGCTCTAGATAATGTGCTACATCATACACTAGTTTCACGACTCAATATATTTATGATCAATTGAAATGTTTTCCAGTGTTGAAATGATATTTTCCAATGGGTTTTTGAGGTAAGCGTTAATTCTATAGTTTGAAATTGACACCTTTATAAGAAAGAAAAGAAATAAAAAGGTTGACACTTGTATAAAATTTTTCCTTCTGTAAATATGTTGGAATTGCTAACCAAGCAAACAAAATTTCTTTTGCATATGTAGTCAGCAAGAAACATAGAAAAAGAGAGAAAAGAAAGCCTTTCAAATTTTGTAACGGTACTTTTTAACTTGGGAACAATCCTTCTCCCTTCCAAATAATCCTTGGAGACGGTGGTATCTAAAAATCACCTACATAAGGAAATACGATATTATGTGGGATAATGATTGATGTTAATAAGTTTTTTTAAAGAAAATAGAAATCCAAAAAAATTAGTTCAAAAAAATTAGGACTCTTAAGTATATCTTTTGGTTTTTAAGATATATGTAATATTTATGGGAAGTTTTTTATTTAGTGTGGATTCCTAACCTTATATATATATATAATAAATTAAAAAAAAGAATATGTGTGTCCTATTTGGGTCATTATATGTGAAAGATTGTTTCGTCTAGAGAGAGAGGCATGGGCCGTTGTCCAAGAGAGGCAATGCTTCCCCTAGATTTTTATAGTTTCTCCTCTTAGTGAGAGAAAGTCTGGGTTGCTCTAAAGGTTCTCTTTTTGAACAACGGTTTAGCTGGGGAATAAATACCAGTCTCTTATTGGACAGTGGTTTAATTGTGGAATAAAAATGAGAGATCTAAGGTTAAAGAGGTAACTTTACATCCCAAAATATTTTATGTAACTTCAATTGGCATAGTGGATTTTAGTTTTCCATGTCCGTAGATGTAGCCCTCTAGGGATGAATCATATAAATCTTTGTGTTCTTATTGCGTGTGTATTTCATGCTTTATTTCTCGTTCTCTCGCCTATTTTGTTTCTAGCTTGATATATACACAATCTTGGTGGGATCGAACTTTTGGGATTCAGTGCAAGGCTAGTGTTTATATATTCAATTGAAGAAAAGCACATGACAAAGTATGCATGTATTTTATTTGAAGAGGAGAAATATGATGGGAAGCACTGTCATTCCAAAAGAATTTATTTAATAAAAGACGAAGAATTTATAAAACTATACAATAGATGTTACTATGGTGAGCACGTGATTATGATATCAATGTGGACATTGTTGGATATGGTGATATCCAAAAATCACCCACATAAAAAAATCTGATATTATGTGCGATTGAGATTGATATTGATAAATTTCCTTAAACAAATAAAAAACCAAAGAGAAAAAAAGTATGTTTACCCTAATTGGATTACCACATGGGAAAAGTAGCTTCCTCGAGAGAGAGAGAGAGAGAGAGAGAGAGAGAGAGAGAGAGAGAGAGAGAGAGAGAGAGAGAGAGAGGAGGAGGAGGAGGAGGAGG